GCCTTTTAATGGCGGGGGCTGGCGAAACTTGGTTTGCAGGCGTGGCTAAGCGGGGGGTTTACACCATTGTCGCGCATCGCTCCCCCAAAGGGCCGCCCGCAACGCCAGGAACCGTTCAGGACTACTGCGGCAAGTTCCCTGGGGATGTCTCTCGGCGCCTGCTTTTCAACAGTGTGAAGCTTTGTCCCGGTTGCGGAAAGCCGTGTGCGGTGACGCTGCTGGCATGCAATCGCTGTAATACCGGCCTCTCCAGCGTTCTTACAACAGAGACGCCCAACCTTTTCAGCGCATTTATGCTTGGTGTGGAAAACAGCGGCACCTTTCCTCTGCGAATTTCTATTCGACACGAGACGGACTCTCTGATGGTCTTCGATGATCCACTTGCTCTTTCGCCAGCACATTTTTGTGCAATTCCCACAACAGACTTTATACCGGATTGGAGGTATCTTCTCTGTCAACCGAAACGTGGGCTTGAGTTGGTACGGTCGCTTTTGAATGCATGTCACAAAGTGCTGACAGAACAGTTCCTAGAAAACTCTGAATGGAAAAGTACGGTGTTGCGTAGCCCAGACATGGAAGCCAAGCAGCATACCCTTGTTGGTTTTAATTATCCGCCATCTCAAAATCAATTACATGTTCAGTATATTGTACCACCATTGATGCCCCACCAGTTCTACATGTATTGCCGCGGGCAGCACTTTACATACAACCGGTTTTTTCCTCTCAGCTATGTGGAGAAGTGTTTAAATGAGCTTGCAAAGAAAGATGAAGCACCGGACACCCAGGAATTCCTTCTGAGTCTGCCTATTGATGATTTGATTGTCATGCTTGACAAGAAATGTAACGCTTCGTACCAAAGAGAGCATTGTGCATTTCTATCACGGGTTGAGGTATTGCAAAACCACTTTGGTAACTGGGCAATGGATAACTTTGAGGGTGTGTATCATGTCCCTGAAAACACTGGAAGTAATAAAGGAAAGTTGTTATTTAAAAAACCATCTGGGGAAAGTTTTTACGTGGATGAGCCTAGTGCCATCGCTGAAGACAAAAAGAGGCTCCAAAACTACGGAAGACCGTATGATGAGAAGGAGAACCCAAGTGGAGGGTTCTACTCGTTTGCCAAGAAGTTGGTGGACATCAAGGTTTGGTCATGAAGACTGAGCCCTTTGCGCGGTGGGTAGCTGGAATGCTGCATAGCACCAACTAGCAGAAGAATTAGCCAAATATCAATTAAACTGAATATGAAGCAAATTTGTAGTTCAAACAGGGATAGTGGTTATGTACTGATTTTTAATAAAAAGCAGAGTCTTTGTATTCAGGAACAAAATGTGTGAGTAAATAATGACAAAACATTTTATTTTCTTCATGTTTCGTCTTATCCGTTTTTCTTTCCAATGTTAAGCAAGTGCCTTAAGAGAGATGCTGACAAAGAGGAAGCCGAGTGCCGTCTTCTTGGACGCTCTACACCAAACTGTAAATGAGAGCGAAAACACGGTTCAGAGTTACCTTGAAGCCAATGTGGAGAAAGAACTACACCGGGCAACCAGTCCTCACCAATTGTACAGGTTTCAGAAACCAGAGAATTTCAGTTACGATCTTCGTCGCACGAGGTTGCCAGCGTCTCAGAGGGTGCGTCTAAAGAAGAACGATTCGGTTAGTGGGCACACAAACGTCCCTGCTGACAGTGAAGACCACTATGCTGCCGGCTCGGTGACTACAGCGTTGTCGCTATGGGATACTCAACTAGAAGAAAAGGACAGTGAGATTCTGCGAATGATTCAGAAAGCTATCCGTCCTCCCACCAAGAGGTCTATCACCCATGTGGCCCCAGATGATGCAGCTGCTATTCGTGGTCTGAGAACAGATGAAGACTGTATTGCTTTCTTTGCTGCTAATGGATCGAGCAGCCAAGTCAAATACGTCTACTTGAACCGTGCACCTCAAGTGCTGGACTTTAGGCCGTATGATCTTTCTGTCTGCCCTGCGAAGCGCGGAGTGGAAGAAAAAGAGCACTATATTATGAGTGCAACGGGGGTTGTGCACGTTAGACCTGGTCAACCCTCTGAAGTAGTGAGCTTGGCAGAGTGGATGAGGGAGTCGTCCCTGTTTGATGTTCTGAGGAAGATCCACTTCTTCAAGACATACCTGGTGTATAAGGCTTTCTTTCGATGGTACCGAAACCTTCGAGCCCAGCAGTTCCTCAAAACACGAAAGGCACTATCAAAGGAGTTGCTATTGTCGAAAGCAACGTTTAGCACACCTATTTTGGAGGTTCTTAAGAGTTCATACGAGCTGAACACACACTCACCTGTGCTGTATGAAGCTCAGGGCAAACATGATTATACTGTTGAGGACTTCAGGACACAGCAGACAAAGCAGCGTCAGAAGACCAGCGCCTCGTTTGGAACCTGCATAGAACGCATCGAAGCAGACGTCACGAAGCTGATTGAAGCCATGAGAGCGAAGGCGGATGTTCCTGATCTCAATACAAGAGAGGCGTTGGAGCAATATTTGCTTGCCAATGCAATCGTCACGGGAACAAAAACCCTTCGTTCCCAGCGAAAGATGAAGTCGATGCATGACGCCAAGGAGGAGCAGTTTCAGCGGATGCGAGAACTTAAGCGCAGTATGGTGGAGTACTCTAAGCTTGATGAGTTTATCCGTCTTGTGGACTGCATCACGTCTGAAACTGTATTCCGTTCTATTCTATTGGCCACCCAGACACTGTTCAACACGCTCAAGAATCAAGGCGGCCAGGAGTTGCGGTCCATTGGTTTTCAGGTCTTACTGCAGCCAACACAGACGGAGCTGCTGTTTAATCCACCTGAAAAGGCCATTCGGGTAGTTTGCGTGGAAGTTATAAGTGGATGTATGGAGGTGGCGGTCTCGGTGGCACGCTTGTGTAACCAAAAACATCTGAAAACCTTTTTCCTGAAATCACCGCGTGCCTGGAATATGGGTAATGAACTTGAGATGGATGCACGTATGGTGTACCTTCAGGATAGCATCCTACGATTGGTGAGCCAGGATTATGCCCACGCCAACATGAAGATGCAAACCTATGCTATCACTCTGCCTCACATCCATTTTCTTGAGAGAGAATGGAGTGATATCTTGGCTCAATGGGAAGAAGACACTGGGGAAAAACCTTTGACATGCTTAAGTTTGTCCAAACTGTACGGTAAACTCCAGGAGGCTCATGATACACTGCGCGTTTTGATGGCGTCATCCGTGGGCAACATGCTGTGGATCAACGCTGCTAAGTTGAAGACTGAAATAGAGCCACGCATGCGGATTCTGCGCGATGGTATTGATGCAACGCTCCGAATCATTACAAAGAATATTGTAACACAGCTGCATACTCTTTTCAAGAAGAAGAACCAATTACTGAATGAACGTCCTGCGCAGCTTAGAGATTTCGCGGAGTATGTGGCGAACTACAAGGCTATTGTGAATGAGGCACCTGAGACAGAGGCTATGGTTGCGCAAGCGGATGCTCTCTGCGAGTTGATGGATCGCCAGCAGGTCGAGTTCTTGGAAGATGAAGATAAACAACTCAAGGAAAGGACATTGGGCAGCAGCAGTGCGTCGGTGTCTCTTCGTATCCTCTTTGATGAAGCAAGACTACAGGCAGAGGCGTTTATTGAAGAGAATCTCTCTTTCCATGTCCAGACGTTGGAGGAAAGCGTGAGCAATGTGGAAGACGAATGCCTCGGCATCAAACAGATCCTTTCTGGTGATGAATTCATTGCATTAACGGAGGATGTTGAACCTATTATTCAGTACTTGGACGATATCAAAGTTAAGCTTACTGAGATTCAGGCAAGTGAGACTCAACTTACTCGCTATGCAAAGTTGTTTGATGTTCCTCCAATCGATTGGACATGTCTTACTACAATGGCCAACTTGCTGTTCGTGCGACATGAAACGTGGACCTTGCTTGACACTTTTGTCAAGAACAAAGAGATCTGGTTCACCTGTTCGCTGAAAGAGCTCGACACGCATGCCATGGAAGATCAAGTGAACTTGTTGATTCGTCAGTCAGGCGCTCTAAATCGACAGATTCAAGAAAAGGAATACGGCGATGAAGTGTTGGCACATCTGTTGACTGAACTTCAACTGATTCGCGGCATCATGCCTGTCGTTCATGATTGTGGTAATAAGCACATGACCCCCACTCACTGGAATGTTGTGTTGAAGGCAGCTACTGGCACAGATAATCGCTATCACGAGGGTCTCAACCTTCAAAGCCTTCAGGAGTGTAACATTTTTGAACACAAGGAGATTCTTTCTGAGCAGTCTGGATTTGCCACAGGTGAGTGGAAGATTGTCAATGATCTCGATAAGGTCAAAAGTCTATGGGACACTACCTCATTTGAGACAAAACCGTATAAGAATCGTGATGGGGTGTTTATTTTAGATCAGCTGGAGGATGTTATTCAGCAGCTGGATGACAACCAAGTTGAATTGCAAACAATTATGGCTTCAAGATCTGTAGCACCTGTTCGTGAGCGTGTGGAAGAGTGGATCCGTAACCTTCGACTTGTGAGTGATGTTATAGACGAGTGGATCACACTTCAGAAAAACTGGATGTATCTGGAGTTTATTTTCTCCTCAAATGATATCAAGGCACAGCTTCCGGAAGAGAGTGCGCAGTTCAATGTTGTTGATGAACTGTTCCGCACTTTGACGCTGAAGGCCTGCACAGTCAAGAATGTTTACCAAATATGCACTGAGAGTGGTACCCTTGAGCAAATAAAAGAAAGCAACGCAAACATTGACCACATCCAGAAGAAACTTGAGGACTACCTGGAGACGAAGCGTGTTGCATTCCCACGGTTTTACTTCCTTTCGAACGATGAACTACTCTCTATACTGTCAGATGTGCGCAACCCCAAGGCCGTGCAACCACATTTATCCAAGTGCTTTGATTCCATTGCGGCACTTGCTTTCGGTGGGGAGGAGTGCTCGGAAATTAAAGGAATGATCTCTGGTGAGCAGGAAGAGGTTGGGTTTGAGAAGACAGTGTACCCTGTTGGGAATGTTGAGCAGTGGCTCTGTCAGATTGAGTCAATGATGAAGGCTTCCTTGCTGATGCATATGCGGAAGACGATTGAGGCATATCCAGAAAATGTGCGCGAGGAGTGGTTCTTCGATCATCCTGCGCAGTGTATTCAGGCCGTTGATATGGTGGTGTGGACAGGTGAAGTTGAGCAGGCCATAGCCGCCGGAACACTAGATGCATACCACGGATCGTACCAGAAGCAGATCCTTCGAACCGTCGACCTTGTGAAGAAGTCCTTGACGAAGCTGCAGCGAACGCTTGTTTGCACGCTAATTGTGCTTAATGTCCACAGTCGAGACATTGTACAGACACTGCATGAGGATAATGTCACATCCCTCAGTGATTTCTCGTGGGCACAGCAGCTACGTTATTATTGGGAGCCAACCGAAACGGTTAAATCAGGGATGAGCGTTGGTATTCGCCACTGTGGTGCGCATCTGTGGTACGGCTATGAGTACCTGGGAAACCAGCCACGTCTCGTTATTACCCCATTGACTGATCGTGCCTTCTTGACCTGTACGAGCGCTCTTGCAATGAATCTCGGTGCCGCCCCGCAGGGACCGGCTGGTACAGGTAAAACGGAGTCTGTGAAGGATCTTGGCAAGGCACTCGCAAGACAAGTTGTGGTGTTCAATTGTTCTGATGGTATCAACTACAAGACTATGTCTCGCATGTTTGCTGGCTTGGCGCAAGCAGGTGCATGGGCGTGTTTTGATGAGTTTAACCGTATTGAACTGGAGGTGCTTTCTGTTGTAGCACAGCAAATGCTTGACATCACCACTGCTCTTGCCCAATCCTTGGAGCACATGGAATTCGACGGGCATTCAATTAAACTGAGTAGAAATTTTGGAGTTTTCATCACCATGAACCCTGGATACGCTGGCCGTACAGAGCTGCCGGATAACCTCAAGGCGCTTTTCCGCCCGATCTGCATGATGATACCCGACTACGCACTTATCGCAGAAATCATGTTTTATTCGGAAGGGTTTGCCGATGCGCGGACACTGGCGCGTAAGATGGTGCAGTTGTACAAACTGAGTTCTGAACAGTTGTCGAAGCAAGATCACTACGACTTTGGTATGCGTGCAGTGAAGTCTATTCTTGTCCTTGCTGGAGGACTCAAGCGACAAAACCCTAACGAGGATGAAGACATGCTTCTGATTCGTGCAATGCGTGACGCCAACGTTCCCAAGTTCCTACGTGATGATACCGTCCTCTTTATGGCTCTCATCAAGGATCTCTTCCCCACCATCAAAATTGAGGAGACGCAGAATGATCTGCTGCTGCGTTACGTGAAGCAGGAGATGGAGAAGAACGGGCTACAAGTGGTTGAAGGTCTTGTGACTAAAGCACTACAACTCTTTGACACACTTGTTGTGCGTCACGGTGTCATGTTGGTAGGACAGACGTTCAGTGGCAAGACAACCATCTTGCACACACTGCAAGGATCCTTGACGCAAGTTAAGGAAGACGGGCACGACCCGGAGGGCAGCATACCACTCTTCAACCGCGTGCACATTCACCTACTCAACCCAAAGTCGGTCACGATGGGCGAGCTTTATGGGCAGGTCAACGAGATCACACGCGAGTGGACAGATGGCATTATTAGCAACATCGCGCGGAGCATCACTCGGGAGGCGCAGGAGTCAGCTGACAGACAGTGGATCGTCTTTGATGGCCCTGTTGACGCCGTTTGGATTGAGAACATGAACACTGTCCTCGATGACAACAAGCTGCTCTGTCTTTTTAATGGTGAACGTATCAAGCTTCCGGCGACCGCAACTTTTATGTTTGAGGTACAGGACTTGGCGGTTGCGTCACCTGCAACGGTGTCTCGTTGTGGTATGGTCTTCACGGAGCCGTACTATGTGGACGGCGGGCGTGGGTGGATCCCTATTGCTAAGAGCCTTGTCGCACAGAAGGCTGCGCAGCTCCCCAAGTTCCGCGCTGATCGCGTGAATGAACTATTGGAGCGTCTCCTTCCCATGACGCTTGACTTCATTCGCAAAGAGTGCCGCGAATGGATCGTATCGGTGGATGCGCAATTGGTGGTGTCGTGTATTGAGCTGCTCGCCGCATTTGTGCGGACGCTTGACGACGAAAGCCTCTTGCCACCTGCATTGAAGTCAAAGGAGAAACAAACAAAACAGGATGCAATCGACGATTTGCTACCACCAACTATTGTGAGGGCGTCTTCGACTGCCACACCCATTGCATGCGAGCCGGAAGAGTTCCGTTCTCCTGCCATCACTGGTGAGGATGTGCCAATAAATGAAGACACATTGTTCGACATGTACTTTTTCATGGCATTTGTGTGGTCAGTTGGTGGCAATCTCCGCGACGACTCCCGTGAGGTCTTCAGTCGTTTTGTGAAGGAGCATTTTGTGTCAATGATGCCGGAGAAAATGTCACTGGGCGACAACCTCAGTGTATACGACTATGTTGTACATAAGCCATCGATGCAGTTCCTTACGTGGCGTCACTTGGTGCCGACCTTCTTCTTCTCCACCAATACGCCGTACTTTGAACTCATTGTACCAACTGCAGAGACTGTGAGCATTACAACGCTGCTCGGCCTCCTCACGACGAACTCGCGGCATGTGCTGCTGAACGGTGTGACAGGCACTGGCAAGTCGCTCGCCATGATGGATTTCGTGACTGGGGTGCTGCGCGGCGATGACCCGTCGAGTCAGTGGGAGTATTTTACTACCGTTCTCAGTGCACAGAGCCGCGCCCGCGATATTGAAGATCGGGTGGAGGGGAAGTTGCACAAAATACGCAGCAACGCACTTGGGCCAACGCCAGGGAAACGTGTGGTGTTTGTGATTGACGACTTGAATATGCCGGCGCTTGAAAAGTACGGCGCATCACCGCCGCTGGAGCTGCTGCGCCAGCTCATCACACAGGGTGGATTCTTTGACAAGCGTAAATCCCCTGCAACATTTAAGGAGCTGCATGATATCGTGTACCTTGCCGCCTGTGGTGTGGTCGGTGGTGGAAGAAACGAGATGACGAAACGGTTAGTGTCACGCTTCCATTTGCTCTGTCAACCAGTCTTCAGCGATTACTCTATCCGCCGCATATTTGGTTGTATTCTGTACGGTTTTCTCTCAGCCTGGAACGAGCCGAATATGCAGAGTCTTTCGGGTGACCTCGTAGAGGCTATCAAGCAGTGCTACGACCGCATCAGCCGCGAGAAGCTACCAACACCTAAACGGTCCCACTACACCTTCAACTTGCGCGACTTCAGCAAGGTAGTACAGGGCATCATGCAATTGTCGCCGCACAGTGCACCCAACCGTGACACTCTGCTCCGCGCCTTTGTGCACGAAGTAAGCCGTGTGTTCCACGACCGTCTTATTGACGATCAAGATCGTAGCTGGTGGTGGAAGACTTTGAGTGAGGTAACGCACAACGTCCTTCACATGAATTGGGATCCCAAACTTGAGAATGTTTTATTCGGTGATTACATGCGGCGTGATCGTGCGCACTACGAGGAGGTGCCCGAAGGGGATTCGCTGCATGAGACCCTCGCCGAGTTTCAGTCTAACTATAACATTGAGTTCAACAAGGTGGTGGAGCTCGTACTGTTTAGAGACGCGATTCACCACATCTCCCGCATCTGCCGTATTTTGCGGCAGCCACGCGGCCACGCGCTGCTAGTAGGAATGGGTGGCACGGGAAGGCAGTCACTCTGCAAACTGGCGGCATTCATGTGTGATCTACCGGTGTACGAGATTTCCATCACACGCACCTTCAGCATGACGGAGTTCCGAGACCGCATGAAGGAGATCCTGCTGGCGAGTGGCTGTAAAGCACAGCCTGTACTCTTCTTCCTCTCTGACACCCAAATCGTGTGGGAAGAGATGCTGGAGGATGTAAACAACCTTCTCAACACAGGTGAGGTGCCGGGATTGATGCAGAACGATGATATTGATCAAATCGTGGAGTCTGTCCGGCCGCTCGCAATAGAGGCTGGTAAAAAGGAAACACGCAATGTCATCTTTTCCCATTTTGTCTCACTATGCCGTGACAATGTGCACGTTGTACTGGCGATGTCACCTGTCGGCGAACCGTTCCGTCGTCGTCTGCGCATGTTCCCATCATTGGTTAACTGCTGCACCATTGACTGGTTTGATCAGTGGCCTGCGGACGCGTTGGCTTCCGTAGCCAAACGTCTCTTCGCAACGCTTTCGTTGGATAAAGAGACCAAAGCGTGCCTCATCAAACTTTGCGTTTCCATCCACGTGGACGTGCAGGCACGCTCCGAAGAGTTTTACGAAGAGCTGCACCGCCGCAACTACACTACACCAAGCTCCTACCTCGAACTTCTGACAAGCTACCGCAGACTTCTTGCTGAGCAGAGCGAGCAGATCAAGGAGCAGGTACAACGATACCAAGGCGGTTTAGACAAGTTGCAAAGCACACAGGTGCTTGTCGACGAGATGAAAGAGCAGCTCGTGCAGATGCAGCCTAAACTGCTCCAGGCTGCGCGCGACACGGAGGAAATCATGGAAAAGGTTAAACATGAGCAGGAGAGTGCGCAGGTGGTGCGCGTGCAGTGCGCGAAGGAGGAGGGTATTGCAATGGGTATCCGCCGCGAGGCTGACGGCATCCGTGCTGAGTGTCAGGCGGAGCTGGACAAGGCAATGCCAATCCTGCGCGCTGCAGAGAGTGCACTTGATGAGCTTCGCCCTGAAGACATCCGTGAGGTGAAGAGCTTCCAGAAACCAGCAGCGCGTGTGGTGCTCGTACTTGAGGCTGTGCTGATACTGCTTGGTGAGCGCGACCTGAGCTGGGACCGCGCGAAGCTCGTGATGGGCCGCATGGACTTCATCAAGGACCTGCAGAACTACAAGAAGGACGACCTAACTGAGCGTACGGTGCGGGCAATACAGAAGTACATTAACAACCCCGACTTTCAGCCGGAAGAGGTGGCGAAGAGCTCTAAGGCCTGTAAGTCGCTCTCCATGTGGGTACTGGCGATCAACAACTACTACGAGGTAGTGAAGGTGGTGGCACCGAAGCGGGAACGCCTCGCGCAGGCAGAGGCGAAACTCGCAGTTGCCACCAACACTCTTCGTGAGGCGCAGGATCGGCTAAAGGGCATCGAGAACGAGATTAATGCTTTGAAACGAACAATGCAAGAGAATATTGAAAAGAAGGAAAAGCTCGAAAAGGACATTGAACTTACGAAGGTGCGTCTCAACCGGGCAGAGCAGCTGATGAGTGGACTGTCACGGGAGCAGAGCCGCTGGGCGAGTTCCATTGAATTTCTACAGGATGAGATGGCTGGTCTTCCGGGCAAAATTGCCCTCGCGGCGGGTTTTGTCGCGTACTTGGGCCCCTTTACCGCGACCTACCGCTCACGCATGGTGCAGGCGTGGCGGAAGAAGTGCATTGAGCTCCGCATTCCCATTGGTTCCAACACGTTTGACTTCACAAGCATGGTGAGCCCTGTTCAGGTGCGGCACTGGTGCGCCAAGGGCCTCCCACAGGACCCGGTGAGTATCCAGAACGGCGTCATTACACACAAGTCAAAGCGTTGGTGCCTCTGCATTGACCCGCAAGGTCAGGCGTGTAACTGGATTCGGGCCATGGAGCGTGATAATAACCTTCGAACTATTAAACTTACGGACCCATCGTACATGCGGGTGCTGGAGAATGCTATTCGTGTTGGGCTTCCTGTGCTAATTGAGAACGTCGAAGAAAATGTTGACGCCGCGCTCGACAGCGTTCTGCTGCGCCAGACGTACCGTTCACAAGGTCGACTCCTACTCAAACTGGGTGACACCGAAATTGACTACGATCCAGCTTTCCGGCTGTACATGACGAGCAAGCTTCCCAATCCCCACTACCTGCCTGAACTGCAGATTAAGGTGACAGTGATTAACTTCACGGTGACTCAGCGCGGGCTCGAGAATCAGTTGCTGGCCGATGTGGTGCGATACGAGTACGCCGATCTCGAGGCACGGGCCATCAAGACTGTGACCGACATTGCCAACGGTAAGAATCAATTGAAGGAGATTGAGGACCGCATCCTGCATCTACTGACATCGTCCACTGGAAATATTCTTGACAACGAGTCACTTGTTCGCACCCTAAGCGAGGCAAAGGAGACAAGCGAGGCAGTGACAAAGTCCCTTGAAGTGTCAGAGGAGACGCAGAAGGACATTGATTTGGCGCGTAATCGCTACCGTCCAGTAGCGACGCGTGGTGCCATCATCTACACTGTTGTTTCGCAGCTCTCGGGGCTGGATCACATGTACCAGATCTCTCTCGACTTCTTCAAGCAACTTTTTGTGCATTCACTGCAGCGCACGGAGAAGGCGAGTGACGTTGATGAACGTGTTGCCATACTTCTTCCAGCAGTGACGCTGGATTCATACAGTACTGTCTGCCGTGGTCTCTTTGAGAAGGACAAATTGTTGTTCGTTGTGCTGATGTTCTCGCACATATTCCGTCACGAGGGGTCGGTGCGTGATGTGGAGTGGGAGTTCCTCCTACGCGGAAGCGAAGGCCGCTTATTGGTGGATTCCGACACGGATATATGGCCTACATGGATGAACGAGGCGGCGTGGAATGAGTTGACGGCGCTGTCACAGGCCATTCCAGACACTTTTGGTCAAATCAAGGATGACGTGTACGACAATGAGACGGAGTGGTCAAACTGGTTCACCAGCGACAAGGCATATGAATGGCAGCCCAGTTCCACACAGGACCTCTCGCCATTTCAGCGGCTGCTGGTGCTTAAGGCGTGCCGCGAGGACCTGACGAGCTACGGTTTGTCTATTGTCTGTGCGCATTACCTCGGCAAAGCGTTTACAGAAAGTCCCGCGTTTGATCTCGAGGCATGCTTTGCTGACAGCACGCCAACAGCACCGATCATATTTGTGCTTACACCTGGTAGTGATCCGACTGTGCTCTTCACAGAGTTTGCTGAACGCAAGGGCTTTGGCGAACGCAAGTTTGTTCTCTCGCTGGGACAGGATCAAGGACCGAAGGCCGAGGAGATGATCCGACAAGCATCGACGGAAGGTATGTGGGTTTACCTGCAGAACTGTCACGTGTATGAGTCATGGATGCCCTCGCTGGAGCGCTGCCTGGAGGAGTTGCAGACGTCACCCAATGTGCATGAAAGGTTCCGGCTGTGGCTTACGACGATGCCAACGCGGAGCTTCCCAGTGCTGCTGTTGCAGTCTGGTGTGAAGGTTGTGAAGGAGCCACCGAAGGGCCTCAAGGCGAACATTCGTGACAGCTTCTCTACCGAGGTGACGCAAGCGCTGTGGGACAGTCGTGCCACAAGCGCGACACCATGGCGCCGCTTATTGTGCTCGCTCACTTATTTCCACGCCGTCATTCAAGAGCGGCGGAAGTTTGGTCCGCTTGGCTGGAACATTCCGTACGAGTGGAACCAGTCGGATTTCTCTGCGAGCCTACATTCCCTCGGGGCGTACCTCCCAGAGGAGGGTGCCGTGCCGTGGGGTGCGCTGCGGTACATGATTGGCATCATCAACTACGGTGGCCGCGTCACAGACTTCCTTGACACCCGTGCCCTGGTGAACACTCTCAGTGCCTTCTTCAACGATGAGGTACTGCAGCCGGGGCAGTTCAACATGACCGCTGACGGTGTCTACTGTATCCCAGCGGATGTGGACTCCCTCGACGCGGTGAAAGAATACTTGGCAAATCTGCCACCTTTTGAGAGCCCGGAGCTGTTTGGGCTGCACGCCAACGCTGACATTGCGTACAACCGCGCCACAGCCCGCAGTCAGCTGGCGATGATGCTCTCAGTGCAGCCACGTCGCAAAGGGGCAACAGGACTGAGTCCTGAAGAGAAGGTGCTCGAGATTATTGACGAGTTCGAGCAACGGCTCCCTGAAGTAGTTGATAAAACTCGGGCGAGTCCTGAGACTTACCAGATAACAGGGGACGGTGCGATGATTTCGCTCGGCACTGTGGTGAGTCAGGAGATCGATGTCTTCAATGCGATCCTTCGGAAGCTGGAGCAGTCGCTCCGCGAGCTGAAGCGTGGTATCAAGGGCGAGGTCGTCATGTCGGCGAAGCTGGAGAGCATGTTTGACGCCTGCCTCCTTGGTCAGGTGCCGCAGATATGGCACGAGGGTGGCTACCTCTCGCGGAAGCCGCTGGCGTCGTGGTTCCAGGACACACTGCAACGCGTAGAGTTCTTCCGTGACTGGAATGACAATGGTATGCCGATGAGCTTCTGGATCTCCGGCTTCTTTTTCCCACAGGGCTTCCTTACTGGTGTGCTGCAGGCGCACAGCCGCGAGCACAAGATACCGATTGACGATATCCGCTTCCGCACCAACGTGACACGCTACGAAGAAGTGGAGGATATTGTCGCGACACCGTCGTCGGGGGTGTTGATTCACGGCCTCTTCCTTGAGGGGGCGCGCTTCTCAACTGGTGCGTCCGTGCTGGAGGAGAGCCGCCCACGCGAGTTGTACACCTCGATGCCAGTGATTCACCTCGAGCCGGTGCGGCTGAAGGACCGCGCGGCAACAGCAGCAACGTACGAGTGCCCGATGTACAAGACCTCTGCACGTGCGGGTGCGCTCTCGACGACGGGATTGTCAACGAACTACGTTGTGTCACTCGATCTCAACTCGGGGGAGGCGACGCCGGAGCACTGGATCCGCCGCGGCGTTGCGCTGCTCTGCATGCTGGACGACTAACCCAACAGAAATAGAGGACGTTGTTTTGGGGCGGTGTTGGTGAGGAGCGTATAGTACGCGTAAAAGGGAGCTGGAGAATGCAGTGCCTTATACTTGCCGTGCGGGCTCGTGTTTTTTTTTTTTTTTT